ATGTGTAGTTATTTTGCGAGCTCTTCGCATCTAGCTGGCCAACCGTTACAACCTACTACCGGTACTACTAGTACCACGGTATCGTGCGGGTCTGTCTACCGGTATAAATGGGTCGGCAAAGCCAACAGTCCGAAAATATACAAGTCGAGCCTCGATCTCGGTCTCTAGGATCCTCCTACCCTAGACAGAGTGTGCAAGTCTGCACTGCGAACTCGGGCGTCCTGGACTACCTGAGCTCTGAGACCTACCGACCTCTCAATCGCGCGGGCCGCTCTATGGTGAACTGCCCGGGCCTGGCTACGCTGGAGGCTAACCGAAACTCGCTGACGGAAGTAGCACAGTAACCTAGATGCCATGGGTGCCGAATCTAGGCCACCCAGGTCTGCTGCACGTCTAGCACAAGTGCCTAGGAACTCATCGAAGGAGGAGTTCAAAAACCCGTATGTCTGGACCGCAAGGGGGATGAAGGTGTCGTCAGCGGGGTGATCGCCGTACTTCACCGTCTTTGCCTGCGCCGCATCCCGTGCTGCCCGCCCGCGCTCAACCGCGGCCTCCGGAAGCATCCCGTCTCTCAACGGGTCCGCGACCGTCACGCAACCGTCCCGCGAGCGCAACGCAACAAGTGCTGTCCTCCCAAAGGACCCTGAAGGGACTGCCCGCACTCGCATAACGCAATGCCCGCTACCATCGGGTGCCGCAAACCAAGCCAACTCCGCAAAGCCGTTCGGAAGCACTCATCCTCAATCGTCAGTGCCTGAAACAGCAGGGCGGTCGACAACCAGGCTGCCGCCCCCGGCCCGGTCTCGCTCACCAGCCGCGCTCGCTGAGCGGGGTCCCGTGTCTGGTCTCGGAGCCTCTGCACCGCTCCCAACTCGATGGCTGCAGTCAGCCTCTCCTGCACGCCTCTCTCCGCCTCCCGACCATGAAGGAGTAACGGCTGGTGAAGAATTACAAGATTGTTGCTCATTCTCAGCTTCCTCATTTCACCTTTCCTTATACGAAGAGTGAAGCCTTCATCGTGAAAGCCTGCATTTTTCTCAATGACGCTCTCATGCTGCTCATCTTTCCTAAGAAGAATGAGGAGAATGAGGATGATGAACAGCATTTCTAAGAGGGGGCAAGAAAGACCGGAAGTCCCTTCTCCAGGTGTTTTTCTTCATCCTCATTTTCCTCATTCTTTAAAGGACCCCCTAGGATAGACCTTTCATCGGCTTCATCTTCCTCATTCTGGAGAATGAGGAAAAGGAGGATGAAGAAGGACCTTTTTGGGAGTAGGGACCTGTCCAGATAATGAGGAAGATGAAGTGGATGAACGGCGCCTTGAGGGGGGGGGCCGGGGTGCCTCTTACATCATTTTATCTTCCTCAACCTCTGGAGGACCCCCTAGGAAAGACCATTCATCGGCTTCACCTTCCTCATTCTGGGAAATCAGGAAAATGAGGATGATGAACGACCTTTCTGAGAGTAGGGACCTGTCCAGAGAATAAGCCTCAAGATGAAGTGGATGAACGGCGCCTCGAAGGGGCCCCCCGGGGTGCCTCTTACGTCATTTTATCTTCTCCAACCTCTGGAGGACCCCCTAGGAAAGACCATTCATCGGCTTCCTCTTCCTCATTCTGCAGAATGAAGTGGATGAACGGCGCCTTGGGAGGGGGGGCCCGGGGTGCCTCTTACATCATTTTATCTTCCTCAACCTCTGGAGGACCCCCTAGGAAAGACCATTCATCGGCTTCCCTTCCTCATTCTGCGGAATCAGGAAAATGAGGATGATGAACGACCTTTTGGGTGGTAGGGACCCGTCCACAGAATGACGAAAATGAGGATGATGAACGACCTTTTTGGGGTTAGGGACCCGTCCAGAGAATGAGGAAAATGAGGATGATGAACGACCTTTTTGGGGGTGGGGACCCGTCCACAGAACGAGGAAAATGAGGATGATGAACGGCTTTTCTTAGGGGGTAGGGATCCTTTCAGGGAATGAGGAAAATGAGGATAATGAACGACCTTTTGGGGGGTACGGACCCGTCCAGGGAAAGAGAAAAATGAGGATGATGAACGGTTGTTCTTAGGGGGGTCCTAGTCCAACAGTGAGGACGCGGAGGGTGAGGAGAGTGCATGTACACATATAAGGAGGGAAACGTGTGTGGATGAGTAGTATATAAGCACATGTATCCTCATACGCAATATTAAATGAGTAGAATGAGGAAGAAAAAAGGCGTATATGGGAAGTTGTAATTATTCACGGCCCATTACGACTCTCTCCTCCCGACCGAATCTGGCTAAAGCGCCCAGCGCCTGTCCCGCTGCCTCCCCTGGAAGACTATCCCGAGCCGCGCGCAGCGCCAACTGAAACGGCAAGCCTCCAGTCTCAACCCCATCCGAGACAGCCTCCGAAAGAAACTGCTCACCGGATCGGACGAAACGCCCCGCAATCAAGCGTTCAACCAGCGCCCACGCACCAAAGAACGCCGCGGGAGCGGACGCCCAAACCGCCAAGGGACGTGGGCAACGTCACCTGCCGGCGCGCGAGCTCTCCCGCCTCCCCCGCAAACGCGTCTGGACCCAAGAGGCTCTCAAAGCACCCAAGCAGTAGACGGTCATAACCCCGAAGCTGCTCAAGAAACTCCGGGGAGGGGGATACCGTCCTCATCAAGTACGAGGGGCGCAGTACAAACACTCGGACGAGGACGGCATAATCTATCTGCAAATCTCGGAGCATAGGGAGGGTGGTCAGCTGCTCACTGAAGAACTGTAGCTTAGCCCCCACAACCTCGTGGATGTGGGCGACCGAACCGATGGGGACGCCAAGAGCTACGATGCCGTGGGCGGGGCGCCGGAACTCGGGGGGGATGGGAAGGGCGGGGGGAAGCTCGGCGGGTCGAAAATGCCGCGCACTTTGCCAGCTTCACCCGTAGGCTGAGCGTGGCTAGGCCGCCCTGCAGATGCGCAAAAGCCTCCGCGGCTCGCGCCGGCGCGCCGACGATGTGAGTATCGTCGGCGTAGGAAGGGAGCTGGACATCCGGAAAGGCTGCGCACGTGGCGGAAAGGGGACGGTGATAGGCTAGGGCGAACAGAAACCCGGCTAAAGGGTCCCCCTGCCAGGACCCCGTGCTAGACTGCAACAACTCCCAATCCCCGCTATCCCGTCCAAGTAGCAACCGAGACGGCTCCGCATAAAAGCAGCAGAAAAACGGGAGGAGCTCCGGGAAGTGCAACCGGAGCTCGTCAAACATGGCTACGCGATCAACCTCGTTGAACGCGTTGGCCAAGTCGACCTGCAGAAACAGCGTCTCCGGCTCCAAATCTAAGCAAGCCCAGATACCGGCTACCACCGCCTCACATCCCCCCGGCGTCGCCACCCCATACTGAAGCGGAGTGAAAAACTCGCGAAAGCGCTCTCTATACTGCAGGCCCACCGCCCGAGCTACAAGCCGACGCAAGACCTCTCCCACTGCCAACGGTCTAACCCTATCCGGCCCCCCCTCAACCGGCTTGGCCATGGCCAAAAGCCGAGAGCTACTGAGCGCGGCGCGCGCACGTGGGGGCACCAAACCCCGTGCGATAAGGCAACAGACCGAATGGAAAACAGAAAACACGGCCGGCGCATCCCCCAAAATGTCACGATAGTGCTCATACACCAACCCTGACGGCCCACCAGCAGATAGACTAGGCGCTGATGCCAGGGCGGCATGGAGAAGCTCGGGGCTAAGAGGGCAGGAATCGACGGGCTCAAAAGTAGCTACCCAATCAAGAATCGGGGACGGCGCTGCAGGAAGCAACTGTCTAAGGGTCTGAACAGTCTCCTCCATAACCGGAGCCGGTCTGCTCGACTCCAAAGCTCTAGCTGCGCGGCGAAGCTTACCCGCCCGTCCAAGCCGAAGACTACTGCGGATCCTGCGCGCCTGCACCTCCTCAGCGGTAGGCTCACCCGCTAACTGTGCAGCCCCCCTCAAACCGCTCCGCAAGAAAAGAAAGGCTGTGTCCAAACTACGACCATAGACCGTTAAATCCAAATCTTTGGTATTAAGTTCAACAACTTTCAGCCGCCAATTTATGATTGTAAACTCATATATTAAAGAATGACAGTCTGGAGTTATTGAGAGAGGTACCTAGACTACTTTTCGAGGTACGGTAGATACTTTATCGACGATCTGCGACCGGAGAGCCGAGAATCGCTAACTGTCGCACAAAGTCGAAATATTTTACAAACGGTCGCGATAATTAGATAATCAGCCGGAAAATAAGATAAACTAGATAGGCAGCACGATATATTGCAGCAGCTGCACCCGGCATGCCAATTGAACGTGGTCACTTCGTATTAATGAACGATACGTGTGAACGTTTTGGAATACTTTTTGTATCATCGCACGGTTAGTAGTCATACTTGGTCCTAGAAAAGTTGCATCGACAGCCCGGATTCTACGTCCATTACCACGTGTCCCACATGTACGGGACTACGGTACCTACTAGATTCGGTAGCTAGATACCAGTATCGGATCGACACCACATCCAATGCACCAGACCGGTGGAGCCAATGGACCTCGCGTACCAAGTCGGCCGGTGAACCAACGGCATTCACAAAATACTCACACGCGCCAAATGCCATCGGACGGCCTGCGAAACGCGGGCCGACTAGCTACTTTAGATAGACGACAAAATCCGCGATTTCGCTGTACGGAGAAGAGTGTTATTAGCACACTGCGATATATCAGGAGAAAATACTAGGGACCATCCGACGGACACGGTTCCCTACAGCGTACAACAAACTAATCTACGAGGTGATACTGAACTTCGCCTACAAATCGCCGGGGACCAAGTTTGCCGGAAGCGTGGAACGAAGTACCGAGCTAGGCTACCGGGAGGCTATTGTGGCATTGAACGCGGCAAATATAGTGACCGGTTGATTAGATAATATCTACTCAACCGGGACTGGCAACCGGGTTACAATGTACGCCTATATTTTACGCGCGCCGTACCCGGTACCGTTACTACGGTACCTAGTAGGTACATACCTATTATGAAATTCGAGAAAATGATAATCGATTCTACTTTCGCATTCTCGCCCCGGATGATACAACGCGGCGACTTATGCCCGTAATTCGGTCGACGACAGTCGCCCTACTTAAGTTCCCCGAGGAGTCGTTTCCGACGGCGTCTCAAAATGGCCGTAGATTCTGCTTGACAGAATTGACGTGAGGTACGATCCGTCACTAAATTCTGTCGCTAAAATGCAAAATAGCCCGCACGCGCGGCATCCAATCCGGCGTTTCGACGATAAACGCGCATTATGTAGAATTTGGACCGATTCTATGGACAACGTGTGCTGAGAAGTTCAGTAATGAGCAAATTCACAGCCACGGCCAGTAAATCCGGCTACGCGAAAAGTTCGGGCGGGTAGAAACGGAGGATCTTAAGAGGGAAAATAGCGACGCATGTAGCCTGAAGTTCGGCCCGTGGTCGCCCCCTCGATCGCGGCGTCGTACAGCGCCAATTTTGTGATCAACTCTACGGCTGTCGCCATTTTCAATAACACGCGACCGCTCGCGCACACACAGGGAGCGCAAAGAACGCCAAGAAAATGGCATGCCAAAAACAAGTCGGAACTCAAATCCATTCCCCCGCGCATGCGAGGCTCTTCTCTCAGCGTTCTACAAATCTTAAAAGTAGACTAGGAACCCTTATAAAGTTTCCACGTCGTACACTGCAGTGAGCAACGGCTTCGAACTCATTCCTACTGATTCCTACGGCTTTGCCACTCTCACACTTTCAACTAGAATTCAATAATTTGCGATTCCGCACGGCGTACGTAGACGGAATGTAGTAAGGCTACACGGAACGGAATGACACAGATTGAAAATGGTATGCCAAAAAGCCATAGAACTTGGAAGTATCTTTTCGGTCTTTTCCATTTGTGTTTTGTTTCGCATTTTCGCAGTTGCCTCAAAATAGTTATTTTTGTGCGAATGGGAGTGGCAGTACGGTACTAGTACATTCTAGGCATGTCCTGGGCTTGGATATCCGCGGTGGAAGCAGTTTTCGCGTGTTTCCGCAAAGCTTCCGCGGCTCTTCCGCGCTGCTTCCGCAGTGGGTCCGCGCATCCGCAGACTTTCCGCTGTGCTTCCGCTGTCTTTTCCGCGTATGTGGCCCTTATCTTTCTAGCATATCATGTAAGTTTTTGTATGCTTCATGCTTCCGCGCACGAGATCCGCAAAAAGTTCTGCACGCTTCCGCACGCTTCCGAGTGCTTCCGCAAGCATATGCGCATTCCGCGTCTATCCCCCTTTCCCATCCGCATGCCTTCGCATGGTTTCAACAAGCTTCCGCAGTCTTCCGCATCTTTCCGCATATTCCCGCGCTTTCCGCGAAACATTTCCGCAACGCCGCTTCCGCGGTGGAAATCCGAGCCCAGGACATGCCTCAGTCTCAGGACAGTGGGTGGACCTTTCTTCTTCGTGATGTACAATCTAGCCATACGCAACTCATCATACAGAGTCTGCGAACTGGCATGCCGCAAAAGCGGCGGGGCGGTGTATAAGATGATCTTGAGGGGGTCGATCGCAACGGGTCGGAATGTTACGAATGATTTTCTGTAACGGGCTCAACCCGGCCGGAAGTTGGGCCGACTATTTGCGGAAGCTTGGAATGGTCGTGTGGGTGGAAGCTCGAACGCGAGAAGTATTTCTGTGTTCGCAACTTCGCAATCCAACCCATTTTATAGTGAAGATTTGCAGGCTAGTGCTGCAGCCACCTCACTTAGGCTGGCAGTCTGCAGTCTTACTTAAGACTGCAGCAGACCACGCAAGGGCGCTCCCCGTACAAGGGCAGTCCCTGTCAGCCGCCGCGTCACGTATGTGTGACGGTCCGAAGCACTACCACTGTGCTACGGCAGCCAAAAAGGACGCGCGTTGATATTCCGGCTGTTTTCACCGTATTATTTATACTAGTTAGGTAAATGTGCGACTCTAGG